GCCTCGCTCGAAGGTAATGCTGCACCGTTGCCTATGCAGAAAAGGGTAAGTTCACAGCGAGTAAGGAAGCAGTGCTCAAGGAAGTAGTGTCGTGTGGTATAGTTGTGTGTAGTTAGTATTTTGGTTGTCTTTGTTGCAGTGACTGTGTTGAAAAAGTGTAGCTGTGTTGTTTGAGAGGTCATGTTGTAGCTGTGTTGTGGCTGTTTTATCGGAATGTGTAATTATGTTTGTGTTGTCGGCATGTGTAATTCTGTTTGTGTTGTAGGGGTGTGTGGTTCTGTTTGTGTTGTAGGGGTGTGTGATTCTGTTTGTGTGGTAGGGGTGTGTAATTCTGTTTGTGTTGTAGGGGTGTGTAATTCTGTTTGTGTTGTAGGGGTGTGTGATTCTGTTTGTGTTGTAGGGATGTGTCATTCTGTTTGTGTTGTAGGGGTGTGTGATTCTGTTTGTGTTGTAGGGTGTGTAATTCTGTTTGTGTTGTAGGGGTGTGTGATTCTGTTTGTGTTGTAGGGGTGTGTGATTCTGTTTGTGTTGTAGGGGTGTGTAATTCTGTTTGTGTTGTAGGGGTGTGTGATTCTGTTTGTGTTGTAGGGGTGTGTGATTCTGTTTGTGTTGTAGGGGTGTGTAATTCTGTTTGTGTTGTAGGGATGTGTGTAATTCTGTTTGTGTGGTAGGGGTGTGTAATTCTGTTTGTGTTGTAGGGATGTGTAATTCTGTTTGTGTTGTAGGGGTGTGTGATTCTGTTTGTGTTGTAGGGGTGTGTGATTCTGTTTGTGTTGTAGGGGTGTGTAATTCTGTTTGCGTTGTAGGGGTGTGTAATTCTGTTTGTGTGGTAGGGGTGTGTAATTCTGTTTGTGTTGTAGGGGTGTGTAATTCTGTTTGTGTTGTAGGGGTGTGTAATTCTGTTTGTGTTGTAGGGATGTGTGATTCTGTTTGTGTTGTAGGGGTGTGTAATTCTGTTTGTGTGGTAGGGTTGTCTAATTCTGTTTGTGTGGTAGGGGTGTGTAATTCTGTTTGTGTTGTAGGGGTGTGTAATTCTGTTTGTGTTGTAGGGGTGTGTAATTCTGTTTGTGTTGTAGGGGTGTGTAATTCTGTTTGTGTTGTAGGGGTGTGTAATTCTGTTTGTGTTGTACGGGTGTGTAATTCTGTTTGTGTTGTAGGGGTGTGTGATTCTGTTTGTGTTGTAGGGGTGTGTAATTCTGTTTGTGTTGTAGGGGTGTGTAATTCTGTTTGTGTTGTAGGGATGTGTAATTCTGTGGCTATGTTATAGGAGTATGTAATGTTGTAGCTGTGTTGTGGTTGTGTTGTAGGCGTAATGCTGTAGCTGTGTTGTGGTTGTGTTGCATTAGTGTAATGTTGTAGCTGTGTTGTGGCTGTGTTGATTGTAGGAATGTGTAACGCTTGAGGTATATTATGGGAATGTGTGTACTGTAGCTATAATGTTTGTGTTGTGGTTGTATTGAAGGCGTTATGATGTATTGTAGGGATATGTATTGCTGTAGCTATGTTGTTTGTGTTGTGGTGTAGACGTTATGATGGAGCTGTATTGTAGGGATATGTATTGCTGTAGCTATGTTGTGGCGATGTTGTAGGAATGTGTAATGCTCTTGCTGTGTTGTGGCCGTGTTGTCGGCGTAATCCTGTAGCTGTGTTGTAGGAATGTCGTGTGGCAGAACAAAGCGAAACATTTAGCACCAAATATAAAAGGCACAGATCGGCAGGGAACACGTCTCCTCCCTGGCACTGTCCATCCACACGCAGCTCTGCCGAGTGTTGGTGCTGTCGTGTTGTTATTATACGGTATTGTGTCACATTGCAGTGTAGTTGTCACACTGTCGCAATGTAGTAGTAGTAACACTGTGTAGTAGTAACAGTGTGTAGTAGTAACAGTGTGTAGTAGTAACAGTGTGTAGTAACAGTGTGTAGTAGTAGTAGTGTGTAGTAGTAACAGTGTCGCGTACACGTCTGCTGCGGGAATGTTGTAGTGGAACGGACGTTGTTGTTTTTACACAGAGCAGTATCTACCCACCACTGCCATACACCACAATACCGCCCTTACTATGTGTGCTGCATTGTGATACAGTGGTAACTGCAATGCTCATATTGTGTGTAGTGTGGTGGTTCTGATCGCTGTGGTGGTAGTTGTAAGGTTGTGACTTGCTGTGGTTATTGTAATGGTAGCCGTTGTTGTGGTTGCATGGTGGTCGTCTTGGTTGTCATGTAGTTGTGGCTACTGTATCGTCTTGGTTGTTGTAGTCGTTTTGATTGTGGGGTGGTTGTGGTGGTCGTGGTTTCCGCATCCCGACCTGTAGGCCCAGGCTTACGCCGCCGCCTCGCTCGCAGCTCCAGGATAATCACTCCACTCTCTCTCCCCCTCCAAACTCGCAAATGATTCCACTCTCACTCTGCTCGCTCATTACTCCCCTCACTCATTACTCCCCTCACTCTGCTCGCCAATTACTCCTCTCACTCTGCTCGCTCATCAATCTCTCACCCTCGCCGCACGCGCGCTCACTTCTCCCCGATCGCGCGGCCGCTGCTCTCGTCCGCACGCGCAGACTCGGATCACCCCCCTCGCCCCCCCCCCTCGCTCACCCCCTCGCTCACCTCGCACCTCCCCCCTCTCTCGTCTCCCCCCCCCACCTCGCACCTCCCCCCTCGCTCACCTCGCACCTCCCCCCTCTCTCGTCTCCCCCCCCCCACCTCGCCCCCCCCTCGCTCACCTCGCACCTCCCCCCTCTCTCGTCTCCCCCCCCCTCGCCCCCCCCCTCTCTCACCTCGCACCCTCCCCTCTCTCTCGTCTCCCCCCCCCCTCGCCCCCCCTCGCTCACCTCGCACCCTCCCCCCTCTCTCGTCTCCCCCCCCACCTCGCCCCCCCCCTCTCTCACCTCGCACCTCCCCCCTCTCTCGTCTCCCCCCCCCTCGCCCCCCCCCTCTCTCACCTCGCACCTCCCCCCTCTCTCGTCTCCCCCCCCCACCTCGCCCCTCCCCCCTATCTCGTCTCCCCCCCTCTCTCGTCTCCTCCCCACCTCGCACCCTGCCCCCTCTCTCGTCTCCCCCCCACCTCGCCCCCCCCCTCGCTCACCTCGCACCCTTCCCCCCACCTCGCCCCCCCCTCTCTCGTGTCCCCCCTTCTCGTCTCCCCCCCAACCTCGCATCCCCCCCCCCCTACCTCGCACCCCCCCCACCTCGCACCCCCCCCACCTCGCACGCCCTCCTCCCCCGCTCACCTCCCCAAATCTCCCCCCCTTCTCACCTCCCCCTCTCGTACCCCCCTCCTACCTCGCCCCCATTTTCTCCTCTCTTCTATCCCCCCATTCTCTTACCTTCTTCCCCCCCCTCTCTTCTCCCCTCTCTCTCATCTTCCCCCTTCCCTTCTCTCCCCCTCCATCTCCCCCCCCCCTTTTTTTAAAGGTTTTGTTTTACGATCAGTGGAAACAAGATGCTCGGTGTAGTCGGCACTTTGCTTCGTCCCCCCCTCGACCTCTCCCCCCGCTATCCCCCTCTCCCCCTTTCTCCTCTCTTCTCCCCCCCCCTCCTCTCATCTTCTGTCCCCCCCTCTCTTCCCTCCTCTCCCCCCTCTCCCCTCCTCTCTTCCCCCTCCTCCTCTCGCCTCCCCCCTCTCTTCTTTTTTCTTTTCTTTTTCATTTCTTTTTTGTTTAATTTCTATTATTTCTTTGTTTCCTTATTTTCTTTTTATCATTTTCCTTTTTCCCCTTGTTTTTCCCTCCCTCTCCTCCTCTCTCTCCCTCTCCTCCCCTCTCTCCGTGTGGCGCACATGTCTCACGCTCACGGCGACCTCCCGGCAGCCAACGTGCGACGACGCAGCTCATGGTGCACCCCCTAAACCGCATTCACTGCACAAACCCATGTGCAACAGTAATTCCGATAGCCTGATGCGCAAACGGGCAGTGGTTCTTAATCTTTACCTGCAGCCTTGCACCCCTTTGATTCGCAATCGTATTTTTTAATGTAAATAAATACATAGGTTTGATGATACGTGCCCGTGATTAATTAGTTGTTGATGATTTACCTTCTAAAACAAAATCTGGCCATATCTCGCAACCCCAAGAGGTGCGTGCACTCCAAGGTTAAGAACCACTGCTCTAGGGGTTACTATAGTCACAACTCTACAGAATACTTACCAGGTATTACTCTGCCGATTACTCTCGTTACTACGTTACATATTACTCTGGTAGTTACATATTGGTCTAGTCACTCCTCTACAGAGTGCCCGAGTAATTACTCTAATCACTACGTTACATAATACTCGATAGATTACTCTACAGATTGCTCGAGTGATGACCAGTGGATTACTCTCGTGGTTACTCTGCAAATTACTCGAGTGATTACCCTACAGATTACTCCAGGGATTACTCATCGACGTTACTGCCAGCGATTAACCCCAGCGATTTCCGTCTTCGCTCCCACGTGTTTAAACTCTGTGTGCCTCCCGTATGTATTGCTGTACTGTATCGCACTATATTCCTGTGTAGTAGTGTGCACTGTTCATAACTATGCCGTAATTATAATATATATTATAAAATGTCCCCCCCAATATATTGCTATAAAATAGATTTCTGTCTATATGATTGTGGTTATGGTTGTACGTTATTAATCCCTAATCTCTGCCATTACATACAATGAAACAAGAAAAGGTAAAAAAGAAAAAACTGAGCAATGGAATACAATACACTATTAGACATTATTGTAAAATATAAATAAAAAGTCCATCCTATGTGTTAGTGAATTTTTTTATATTTAGGCAGTAAATTCGTTTTCAAATATTGATTTTTTTTCTGGGTGGGGGGGGACCTCCAGACCCCCTGGAAGATTTGGCCTCCCCCAATGTTGACTTCCATGGCAACGGCCCTGGATCATCAAATATTTTTGGGTTAGATCGCGTTATTCTAAATGTCGCAACCCTCCACCACCCGACACGGCCAATCAGTAAAAAATGTGTCATGTTAACAAAACGCCAATTAGTGACTTATTCAGCCTACCGGTGTTTGAAGAGTGAATCCACAACGTTCAGAATTTGAGTACGAAGTGTCGCTGGTAATTACATGCGCATCTCCCGCCTTGTGTGATGCAGATAGGATTGTTTCCTGAAAAAACGTTCTATTAAATTGCAGTTCATATAGGTAGGCTAAGAATTTACCTTGTTTTAACTTACAGTATTGGCATTAATAAAGACATACAGTATATAGCTTATACAGTACGGTACTGTAAAATTGCTCGGTTTTGCTAAATTATCACCATTCTTTAAGACTCCTGGGTAGGCTAGGTCATCTTCGACTTACGATATTTTTGACTTACGATGGGGTCGTCTTAACGCATCCCCATCGTAAGTAGAGGACCTGTACTCGATCATTTCAAGGCAGCGTAATTGACGAATGTGTTGAGTTTTGTGTGTACTCCAATGTATTGTGTAGCACTGCAGTTTACCGAATATCCTGTATTGTACTAGGCACAGTAGGTCTCTGTGCTGTGTGTCGTATTGTGTGCACGTATAGCACTGTGTATATAGTATTCCATGTTGTGTACTATAGTGAGCTGCGGTGTACTGCTGCTGTCTGTGCTCCATCACCAGCGCTGCAGGCCCCGTCTCCTCCTCACGGCTTCCTGTCGTGACGACACAGGCCCCACGTGGTGGGGGTGGTGGGGGGGCGTGCCGCTGGAGGCGGGGGGGATGCGACGGACGACAGCGACGAGAAAGGGCGCGGGGACCCCGCTGGGGGGGGGGACGACGGACGACGATGACGAGAGCGCCGACGAGGCGGGGGGACGTGACGATCGACAGCGCCATGGAGGGAATCCCGGAATTTGCATGACGTGTGATGCCATTGGTCGAAATATGGAGCATGAGGTGGGGTACCTGGGGGGGAGGGTGCGACGGACGACAGATTTCGCTGGGCCCGTTGAATGAATGCAATCGGTAACTCATTGAAAAAAAGAGAGATTACAACTCTGTAGCAATCCACTGGTGGATGAATATAAAGACCTCCCCGCGCCGTTGTCGGTCACGAGTTCGTTGTTTGACCATACTTCACCACATTGGTTAAGTGCACAGGTTAATCAAACGGGGCAGGGATAGGCAGGACCGGTTCAATACGTCACTCGCCACATGATGTTAGCCATGGCCGGAAACTGGATGCATAGCTCAGATCGCAAACCACTCACTGCAACTATCACCCCTTCCAGAAAAGTACAATAAATACATCGAGAATAAACCGGTAACTCTGCACTGAGCTCTGTCTATTGGGTTGGAGAAACGGGGCAGTTCAACCTGCATTTGTTCGAGAGAGCCTGACTGCTGATGAGACACTGAATATCGAAACCAGTCCCGGGAGTGCTTGTGCCGAAAGGCCGTGGGAGCTGATGGGATATATAAAGAAATTCTTTATTTTAATTTGAAGGGACTAGTGTGTGAAGTTGGTGGTCCCAATGTCATCCACCAACCCCATCACCACCCTCACCAAAGACAAATATCCCCCCCCCCCCCGTAAAGCCTTTAACAGATTAAATTTTTACTTTCGTGACTGCAGGAATTCACATTATTGGTTCATTCTGTAAAGTCACGTAAGTAGAAAAAATAAATCTAATTTTTAAAAAATTAAAATAAATAAAATTAAAATAATAAAAAATAGCAAAAAAACCACGACGTTTCGATCGCAACAAAAGCGGTCTTCATCAGGCGGAGAGAAAAGAGGGGCAAGCTTCCAAATGTAGCTGCTTATAAGGGTTCCAAAGTGAGTGGGCGATAGAAAGAAAGAGCTGCGGAGGAAAGAAAGACAGAGTTGTGGAGGAAAGAGCTGCGGAGGAAAGAACGAAAGAGCTGCGAAGGAAAGAGCTGCGGCGGAAAGAAAGAAAGTTGCGGAGGAAAGAGCTGCGGAGGAAAGAGTTGCGGAGGAAAGAGCTGCGGAGGAAAGAGCTGCGGCGGAAAGAAAGAAAGCTGCGGAGGAAAGAGCTGCGGAGGAAAGAGTTGCGCAAACAACACGAGCTGCGGAAGCAGCGCGCTAATGCAGGGCGGTGGTGAGCTTGTGCAGCGCAAATAGCATGGGGGGGGAGGAAGGCGGCAGAGACAGAGGGAGAGAGAGGGGGTGGGGCAGAGATAAGGGGGGGGGGTAGAGATGGGCGGGAGCATTGCACTTCCCTACACCCATCCACACTGCTGACGGGAGAGGTTGACATGTAAACACAAATCAAGTCATGACCCAAAGTGGTTGATGACATCTTTCCAATGATTGCTGAGTTTATAACCGTCATCTCAGTTGAAATTGTGTCTGTGTCTGTATGTATGTGTAGTGTTGTGGATTCTGGAGATGTCGGACGCAGGTCTTGGAGGCAACACAATTTATTCAACACAATATCTGGCAGTACAACCCGGCACACTCAGGGCAACGGCCTTTCTATTACCCTTGCCTAGGGAGGTACTGCCTCCGGGCTAACTCAGCCGATACGGGACTGCTACTCTAGGTCCTCCAGCTACGGGTGCCTAGGGGAGGCTAATCTAACCCGACCTAGCCAGGGTGCGGGTTCCAACCACTGGCCCGCTCAGACCCGGCCATTTCAAGGACATCGAGCCGGGGATTCCCAGGGTCTCACCACTGAGCCGCACAGAGTCCCGGCCCTGACAAGGGCAGCGGGGCCAGTCTTATTGCTTCTGTCTTCGACTGGCCCCGAGCCTGTAGAGAGGTCCGGCTTATATACACCTTCCCACTCGAGGGGCGGGGTCCCGAGGGATCCCAGGACACCCCACAGCCCCCTCCTTCTCCGGGGCTAGGGATATTGTGACTGCCCCTACTGGACTATGGCAGCCTTTACAGGTAAGTGTACACAGTTCATTTATGTCGCTACACATAGCCCATACACGCCCCTACATATGGATGGCTTCGTGAACGAATCTTTGTTGATACAGCTTAGTTTGTAGACGCCGGGATCTTGTCCTTCACAGATGGGATTAGGTCACGAATTTTGGGTTAAATCGGACCTGGATGTTGAGCTTGTTCAAGATTTTGGGAATCGTTTTGGTTATTCCTATGTAAAGTAAGGTGATGGTTTTGATTGGATCTTCAGATGGCCCCTTCCTCACGGTTGGGGTGATGGCTTTGCGGTGTAGTCAGAATATCCATTCGCCTTGAGAGTCTGGTGCACGTGTTTGAGTTCACTGGTCAGGTGTTCATGGTCGGAGATACATTGAGCTCTATGGTGTAGCGTTTTAATGAGGGAATTCTTCTGGTATGGATGGTGGTGGGAATCAGGTTTTAGGTAGGTGTCAGTACGAGTTACTTTCCTTTAGACAGAGTGGCTCATTGAGCCATCTGGTCTCTTTTTGATGAAGACATCCAAGAAGGGTAGCATGCCATCCTTTTCTACCTCCATGGTAAATTTGATTGCTGGGTGCATGGAAATGATGTGGTTGAGGAATTGTTCCAGAGCCGCTCGGCCATGTGGCCAGATGACAAACGTGTCATCCACGTACCTCTTCCACAAGGACAGGCGTAGAGTGGATGCCTGCATGGCATCCATCTCAAAATTTTCCATGAAAATGTTTGTCACAACCGGAGATAAGGGAGAACCCATTGGGGTGCCTTCAGTTTGCTTGAAGAATGTTCTATTCAAAGTGAAGTATGTATTGGTGAGGCCGTGTCTCACCAGGGCTGGTACATCAGCATTAGGTTCTTGTTGGACCAAATCCTAAATTATTGCAACAGTATCGGGCACAGGAACTTTGGTGAACAGAGAAAGTACATCAAAACGAGCAAATCACCTGCGGACAGTGAGATGTTTTTAATTGATGATACCAGGTAAGCTGAGTTAAAAATAGAAGAAGTGGTTTTACCAATGAATGGCTGCAAGGTCTCAGACAGATACTGGGCCAGTTTGTAGGTGGGTGAGCCAATGGTGGAGACGATGGAACGAAGGGGTGTACCTTCTTTGTTGATTTTTGGTAGCTATTTCCACCGCAGCTCTTTCTTTCTGCCGCCCACTCACTTTGGAACCCTTTAACAGACTGTTGGGGCAAATGCTGTTAGCGAGCACCTATGAAGGCCGTTGACGACATACGAGAAGGTGGGTGGCCAGCACCATGGTACTCATTAGGTACCCATTTGAGTCCGAGCTAACTTCGGAAGGCCCAGGACCGGTTAAAATTTTTGCCATTGTTATTGGTCGTGAGCAGGGATTGAACTCGGGACGCCGGGTTCGTAGCACAACTCACGAACCGATAAACGACCGCTCAGCCCATAAACTCACCATCCTCGCCAGACAGACCACCCTCACCATACACAACCACCCTCACCACACACCCCACCCTCAACACACACACCACCCTCACCACACACACCACCCTCACCACCCTCACCACACACACCACCCTCACCACACACAACCACCCTCACCACACACAACCACCCTCACCACACACACCACCATCACCACACACCCCACCCTCAACACACACAACAACAACAACCGCCATTCACCACTAAGTGGCGGTGACGTCACCACTACGCTTGTGCCAGGCCATGTGCACATTGAGGCCACGTGAAGTGTTGAACGCCCGCTGGCAGGAGGTCACGGGGCAGACCCAGGTGCCACGGGTCGACTGACCGAGATGACTGGCTGATGCACCACCTGTGCCCCCTACTGTGCCAACTTGCTGTGCTTTAGCCACTCGGCACTCCACTCGTTGTTGTGAGCGTCGCCCCTCCGCCCTCCGTTGCTGCTGGAGGGCGACTGCCTCCTACTGCCCAGTAGCGTCCTTCACGAGCCTCCTCCACAGAGGCCGATCTTGACACACCACCCTCACCACGCACACCACACACACCACACTCACCACACACATCATCCTCACCACTCACACCACCCTCAGCACACACACCACTCTCACCACACACACAACCCTCACCACACACACAACCCTCACCAAACACACAACCCTCACCAAATACACCACCCTCACCACACACACCACCATCACCACGCACCCCACCCTCAACACACACACACCACCCTCACCACACACACCACCCTCACCACACACACCACCATCACCACGCACCCCACCCTCAACACACACACACCACCCTCACCACACACACCACCCTCACCACACACACAACCCTCACCACACACACCACCGTCACCACACACACAACCCTCACCACACACACCATCCTCACCACACACACCACCTTCAACCCCTCACCCCACCCTCATCACACACACAACACTCACCACACACACACACCACCCTGACCAGACACACAACCCTCACCAAACACACCACCCTCACCACACACACCACCATCACCACGCACCCCACGCTCAACACACACACACACACCACCCTCACCACACACACAACCCTCACCACA